AGGCGACTTTTTTATGGAGTATAACAGTAAAGAAGATTTTTAGCTGAAACCGTTGCCCTTGGTGATTCATAAAATGCAAGTCAGTGGCTGCTTATTTGAGAATTTAAAAAAAAGCATATCAAGGAACAAAAAATTAATACCCATGGCTCCTGACGATATATTAAGGTCTTATGAAGAGAAACGATCGGTCTGTGCAAGAAACTAAAAATTTTTTTACAACAGTAATCCAGAGCCTCAGTCAAAAGAATGAATCATTCCTTTGAACCAGGTTTTTTGGTGAATTACTTGAACCAGTTCACCAAATCTGACTGAACCATCTGAAACAGTTCGCAACTCGAGCAGCACAGATCTACAAGTTACTCAATCAAAACTCACTTTCGGATGCCTGACAGTCACTCTGACTCAAAATGAGCCAAAATACTGGCATATAATGATCCTATGATGAATGAACTCATTCAGCGTTCCAAGTCCTCCAACAGTCATTGAACTGAGGAAACAGTTTGACTCGGACCGATGAGCCGCTGATATGTACATGTGTGAACTGAGCACTTGAATGAAAGGGTGAAATTAAATTTTTTATGGTTTCTCATTGTTTATGTAAAAAGGTGAGCTGATGAAGAATAGTTCACTTTATATTCTTTAGACAGGTAAAACATTCACATTCCACATCATCTGTTGTTTAGATTTTTATTTGCTGCTAGGAAGAATTATTTCATTTACTATCTATTTCTATTTTTTCTTCTTTCGTTATAATTTGTATTTTGAGTGCACTTATTTGTAATTAGAATAATAGCTGTCGACTAATGCCGAGTTCACACTGCACGATTTTCAAACTCGTCGGATCGCCGTTGTTTTCACACTGCGTGACTATCTGGGGTAGCATTCAGTTGCTGCTGTATTCACATTGCACGATGGATCGGCGACAGGAGTGTGATTGTGAATCGCCGACAGCTCCATATATTTAGCATGCCAAATATTTCACTGGCATCGGCGACTTGTCGGCGATTCCCTCAGATGCGTCTTTGATAATTCGCACTGCGTGATTGTCACTCGCGTGAACGAGCACCGAATTGCCTCCGATTTCGGGCATTTGTCGGCGATTTCGCTAAACCTGTCGGCGAGTGAAAAATCGGGCTAAAATCGTGCAGTGTGAACTCGGCATAAGAAGAAGCTTTTAATATTTGTATTGCTCGTTTATTGCACTTAAGTGGCAAACTGTCCAGCGGCAGTTTCGATTTGAGCAATTCACCTGATATAGGCTTTTGGAAGAGGTGCACAGCTGTTTTCACTCCAGTGTCGATAAGCTGTGTATTTATTTGTTATCTGTGCGGAAGCGCTCAGCCTTAAGTATAAGGCACTTAAGTATCTTTTATTTTCCCTTTTACACACTCTCCTTTTGCCCTCTCTTTTCCACATCTATCATGTGTTTCCTATACATTCCTGTTATCTCTCAACAACGCTCTAACATCAAACGCAGACAGCAATGCAATCTTGCTAACCTGCGTCCTATCTGCACCTCTTCTATTGCACCTCTCTCTTTTTCTGTGGGTTTCTGGAATTGCCAGTCAGCTGTCAACAAAGCAGACTATATATTCCAGCAATTTCTTCTCAGTCTATGCTTAGTATCTTGGGCTTGACTGAGACCTAGATTCGTCCAGAAGACTCAGCAACCCCTGCTGCTCTCTCTAACATCTTCTCTTTCTTTCACATCCCCACGTCAGGTTGGGAGGGGTGGGGGTACTGGTCTTCTCATTTCCAACAATTGGAAATACTCAACCCACTCTACCGTATGCAATAATAACTCATTTGAATAACTATTACGGTAACAGCTCCTAAAACTCCATGTTGTAGTAATCTAACGCCCTCCTGGGCAACTGGGCACCTTTATAGAGGAGCTGGATGGGCTGCTGTCCTCATTCCCTGAGGATGACAATCCACTTGTAATCGTTGGCGACTTCAACATCCATCTAGAGAAGCTTTATGTTGCAGACTTCCATTCACTCCTAGCTTCATTTGATTTCAAACAGCTTATCACCACGAGCCCTTACAAATCAGCCAACCAGCTTGA